CCAGCTTGGAGAGGGACCAAAGGAGGTTTACTAGAATGATCCCTTGTAGATTACGGAGAAGTCTGAACAGAGTGGACGTGAAGATCATATTTCTACTAGTAGTACAGACTAGGAACTGAGGGCACAGCCTCCAAGTGAATGGATGACCCTTTAGAACTGAGGAGGAATTTCTTCAGGCAGAGGGTGGTTAATCTGTGGAACTCATTGTAGAAAGCTGTGGAGTCTGAATAACAGAGTATATTTAATATGGAGACAGTTCTTGATTGTAAGGAGATCAGAGGTTATGGGTAAAAGGTAGGAGAATGGTTGAGAAACATCAGCCATGATTGAATGGTGGAGCAGATCTGATGGGCTGAATGGCCTGATCCTGGTCCTAGATCTTATGATCTTACTCCAGGATAAATGCATTCATTGAGTCTAAAGCCAGAGTTTATCTTTTGCTTCATTTTTGAAATATTGCAAATCTACTAAAGTAACTGTCTCTGCTGCATGTTGCCATCATTTAAATTTAAATTGGCTTGAGAGTATGTAATGGAAACTTTTTGAAACTGCCTATTTCTCAAAGCTAAAGCAGGATCAGTGTGACACCCTGAAATGTCAATTCTGATTCTGATATTTGAAGCACTTTTAGGTTAGCCATCTCTAGGTAGGGGGTTAACAATTTTCAGCTGGAGGTGAGAGCTATCTTGCTTTTGACATGGAGCTAAAGCACGTTGGAAAAAAATAAGAAGTCAAGACACAAAGTATTCTGAACTTTTATGGTGTGGAAAATATAACCTTTTGACAATATGCTATTCTCTTTTGGCTGTTTGATCTGATGGTTGAAGAAGCAAATGGTTCCACAAGGAATTATATACTGCCTTGAAATGTATGAGGAGAAATTGGAGAAAAGTTAAAATAAATCATTAAGTGAGTTGGTGAGTCATGTAGAAACGCAATGAAATAACTGATTCTATCAGAGACTGGCAATAAATTCAGGGCTTGTACCTATATGTAGCCATGTAGTGATGAGTGCTCTATTTGATAAGCATCCGACAGATAACTTAATACCTTTTTCTGTAAAATGTGAGCAGTTTAAAATGTACAGATTGCACTTAAAAGCAATCTTTGCACGATTTTAGGAACCAAACTGGTTCAGAAACGTAGCTACCTGAGGGATTGGGCCAGGGCTTGGAAACAAGATATTTATTATACTTATCATACAATAGCAATGGCACAGACTTGGAAGAGAACCTGTGCTGACTCAAAAAGAGAGATTTTAACCTCAGTAACCACTTATGAGCCAGTATCTATTTGGCAAATACTTGGTAGTGAAGTGTTGGTTTTGTGAACAGGCATTACAAATACAGATCTCACTTTGGTAGTACTGATCTTCGTTAGCTTAATGTTTTGTTAGATCAACCATGCAAAGGTTGCAACCGGTGATGCAAAAGCAAAATTTGAAATCTGGAGTAAAACACAAAATGATGGCATCTAAGGTCATTGTTCTGAAGCAATAATTCTTTCTCTCTCCATAAATGCTGCTTGACCTGCTGAGTGCTTTTGGCACTTTGTTTTCATTTTATCAATGCAACCACTAGTTTCCTTTTTTTTGTTATCATTTGTTGCACTGAGATAGGTTGAACAATATTCCATACTCCTTGCTCTGAAGTGCAGTCAGTTTTGAAAGCACCTCTGCTGTGGAATTTGGGAACTTTGCACTTTATCACAATTTTAATGCACTTTATCACAATTTTAATGCACTTTATCACAATTTTTTGTGAGGAGGTACAAGGGAAATAAGAACACTTACTGTGTATGTATTCTATCATAGAGAAAGAATGAGCAGGACATCCAAAGAAGCAAAAGACCAATTTAAGGCAGGGGAGGATGGTGAGCAGAGTTGAGCATAAAGGATCACTTGGGCATGATGCTGTTGCCTGGTCCTTCTCTGTGCTGTTAACAGATTTCTTATTCAGAAAGTTAGGAGATGGGCCAAAAAAGTAAAGACAAAGGAAAAGACCAAATGACTTGAGAATAGTAGCGACTGTGACATCAAGGCCAACTGGAGAGTTTGGATACTCTGCATTAAGTCCTACTCCACTAATGTGGTTGCAAAACCTCCCATGAGATTGTCTCTAAGATGAGCAGAATGGTTCTTCAGTGTGTCCTGTTCTCCAATTATTCTTCAACGTAACAATATTTACTGGACCTTTCTTATGCACAAATTGTTAACACTGAGACCAACACTAACCACATTTCAAGATAATGGATTTAGCTAAAAAGTGCTCTGTGAATTCCTAAGGATGTGAACAGGACTAAATACTCAAAACAACTTTATCAATCATGGCTGTGGTGGTGTATCACAACAAGTTTGAGTTGCTGTGGCAACGTGGGTAAAATACTGGAGCTATGAGTAGTGATGGTATAGGCTCCAAATTGTTTTCACAAGATTGAATCTGGTGTTCTTGTGGTTGATAATCATGTTAAGTTAGGTGCATCAGTAGATCATTCAGTCCTTTAAGACTGCTGTGCCATAATAAGGTCATATCTGAAGCCTTAAATTTATGGAGGTACTAAATAAGACCAAGAGTTTCCAGGTTTAAAATTCACTGCAACCAAGGCTTATGAAGCTGCTTTTCAACTAATATTTACATGGGCCTATTAGGAATGAATATAGTACATAACACTTTACTGAAGTGTTAGAATAATTACTTTTACATGCTGCCCTTAATTGTTATTTGTATGTTTTGATGATTTTTTTAGAATATTTTGTTGACCATGAACTTGGAATTCATATGAATCTACGCATGACACATTTCTGTGCAGGGTCCTGTAGACTATTGCCCAGAACTGGATTAGCCCTATAAATACAGGAACTACAAGAGTAGGTCAGAGGCTAGAAATCCTGCAGTGAGTAACTCGACTTCTGGCTCCCCAGAGCCTGTCCATTATGTACAAGGCACAATTCAAGAGGGTGATGGAATACTCACTTGCCTGGGTGGGTGCAGCTGCAACAACTAACAAGAAGCTTAACACCATCCAAGGTAAAGCAGCCTGTGTGATTGGAACCATATCCACACATATTCTTTCCACCACCCATGCTCCAGAGCAGCAGTGTGTACTATCTGCAACATGCACTACAGATGTTCACCAAGGCTCCAGCACTTCCCTCTGGAAGGGCAAATGTAGCAGATCTCTGCAAGTTCCTCTCCAAGCTACTAACCATTCTGACTTGAAAATATTGCCATTCCTTCACTGTCACTGGGTATAAATCCTGGAATTCCCTCCCTAAGGGCATTGTGGATCAATCTACAGCACATGGATTGCAGCAATGCAAAAAGGCAGTTCACTATCACCTCAAGGGCAACTAGGGATGGGCAATACATATTGGCCCAGTCAGTGACAACCACATCCCAAGAGTGAAGTAAAATAAAAACTTCCTACTTTTCCCCTACCTCATGGCAATGAGGCAGACAGAACATGTATTTAACATCTATTTCAATAACGAGTTCTTTCTGAAACATGGCCAGCCTGTGGTCAGGGCCTGTAGCTTGAGCAGCACCAAGCCACATCAAACAGACCTGAATAGGAGACTCTCCACTCCTACTGTCTGCCATAGACACATTGGAATGGTTTACAGATTGCTACTCGGACTGTTGGCTGTGTTGTTGTACTTCCCTTGGTCAAATCTGTAGGAATGGGCAGGAGCACCACCCCTCTCCCCAGTACCCTACTACTTACAGAGGGCTCAGTTGGCTGGATGACTGGTTTGTGATGTCAACAGCATGGGTTCAATTCCCACACTGGCTGAGGTTACCCAACTCTCTTGACTCTCCCCAACCTCTTGCCCTCATCTGAGACGTGGTGACCTTCAGGTTAAAGCACCACCAGTCATTTCTCTAATGAGAGAGCAACCCTGTGGTCTAGTAAGGCTATGGCAACTTTACCTTTACCCTGTGGCAGAGAGCTGAAGGAGAGAAATACATGCAAGATGAGATCATGAATAGGTCAAGACCAGGTCGTTGGAGAACACCGGTGTTTTTCTCTCCGGTCCAAAACACAGACATCATTCCATCCTCCTGCTTCTTACCCTTCTCCGCACAGTCACTGCCTCTGTACCCATGGGATTATCCCCTAAAGGAGTCACTCCCACCTTCAAAATTGAGACTGGAGGCTCAGTGTGAACAGTAAATGCAGTGTTAATTTCCTCCACAAGGAAATATTTAAAACATAAATATGTCCCAATGTCTTAGAGATTGCTCAGGAAGAGCAGAGAACTGCCAATGAAGGCTAGGACTGGCTTCAGTGCCATTGGTAAAGTAAGGGTTAACATCCAATGAGCTTGATTGTTTTAAATCAACCTGTTAGGATATGGTGGGGGACTCCTGCCCCAGAGGAAGAGGCGTTATTCAAGAACCCCAGCTGAGAGCTTAATGAAGGCCTTTCACTGATATACCAGGGTGTGATGAGGGACTCCTCAGTCTGGGCTGTTCTCTTCACACCCTAAACACTGAGAACCTGTTAACAGCTTCCAGTCAGACATTCAACAGTGAAATCCTCAATAGTACCAGGCGAGAAAGCTGCTGTCATTACGTTAACTATGCTTTGATCGTCTCTTCGTTGTTAGTCTTCCAAAGGGTATCTGCCCACTTTCTGGACATTTTTTTGTTATCTTGTTTTAAAAGCACATCACCTCACCCTATAACCATGTGATCGGAGCTGATACCAAGTGGCGATTCACTTGCTGGAATTTTCTGAGAAATTCGAGCCTGGCATTTCTGTTAGGATCCTGCAATCTCTCAGCTCAAGGCAACTGGAGTAACTCGGCGACAACTCTCTTACAGGAACCCAGAGGGGCAGTGTTACCATTCACCCCCAAGTGCAAGGAAGATCCCATCACTAAAATGCCAGCCAGGAAAAATGGGTTTTGGTTGGCACCTTTGAGAAGGAACTGATTGCTGATGATTCTCAAATAACAGGTGCCGTTGGGCTGCTTGAGCTAGCCTTCGGTTGTTTAGAAGAGAGTCCCACCCGTTTCTCTCCTTAATCAGCACCGCCTCGCCAAACAAAACGGATCCTTATCTAGTCAGGATCCTCAGTGTGTTGGAGAGAGGCTGCTGCATTGCTCCCAGTTCCTATTACCCTGACTGTCTCCCAAAGCAGGCGGTATGTGTGTGTGTGCAGGGGTGGTTGGGGGACGGAATACTCAATCGATTCGTTCGGGACTAAACCCGGTATGGAACAGAGCTCAGGGCAAAGTTCGGCAATATCTGTGGGGAGAGAAACACGTTTCAGGTCTGACATTGATCCTTGTAGACTTTACCTGTCTCTGTCCTCACTTCATTCATTTAATTGTATTTTCCCTCCCTCTAATGGGAACGTATTATAAATATGGGCCACGGATGTTTAGTAATTTGAAATAAAAGATCTTTACTCGGACCAACAGCGCCAACTTGCTTCGACCTCTCAGACTTCCCGATATAAATTATTTTGCAAACAGGCCAGTCAGATGCCAGGGTCTGGGGTTCCTGCTAAACAGGTGATTATTCCCTGCATTCTGACTTACAGCCATATCAATACTGTAACTACAAGAGCAGGTCAGAGGCTAGGAATACTGTGGTGATTAATTCACCTCCTGACTCCCCAGAGCCTGTCCATCTTTTACAAGGCACAAGTCAGGAGTGTGATGGAATACTCCCCACTTGCCTGGATGGGTGCAGCCCCCAACAACACTCAAGGAGCTTGATACCATCGAGGGCAAAGCAGCCTGCTTGATTGGCACTACATCCACAAGCATCCTCTCCCTCCACCACTGACGCTCAGTAGCAGCAGTGTGTACTATCTACAAGATGCACTGCAGAAACTCACCAACAGCATCCTCCAGACCTCTCTGACCTTTGTGTTAGAACAAGGGCAACAGATACATGGAGGCACCACCACTACCGCCTGCAAGATCTGCTCTGAGTCACTCACCTTACTTGAAAATATATCGCTGTTCTTTCAGCATCACTGGGTCAAAATCCTGGAAGTCCCTCCCTAACAATACTGTGGGTGTCTGTACACCCTGAGGACTGCAGTGGTTCAGGAAGGCAGCTTGCCTCTACCTTCTCAAAGGCAAATAGAAATGGGCAATAAATGCTAGACCTAGCCAATGACATCCATATGAATAAAAGATGTGCAATTGTACAGCCCCTTCAAAACCACTAGACATCAAAACATATTTAAGCTAGTGGGGAAGTGCTGTCACTATTCATAATGCAAGGAAAGCAGCAGGCCAATTTGCAGAGAGCAAGCAAAACAACAATGACCCAGGTAACCTGTTTCTTTCTGATTGAGAGATAGCTATTGGCCAGGTTCCCAAGGAGAATGGAACTTCTCTTCTTCAGAATAGTGTCTTCAACACAGTTACACCCACCCAAGCAGTTAGACAGGGTTCCAATTAATGTCTCACCCCATGCTCCAGCGGGGAGACAGCCTCCATTTTTGTGCTCAAGCCCCCTTGGAGCTGCATTTGAACCCATATTCCAAATTAATTCCAAAGCCAGCTGAGCCAACCTTGAAATGATTGAAGTGACTTACAACACAGAAAAGGTAACTGGTTTTTAAAATGTCTGGCAGTTAACTGTCAATCATCATGAGTTGGTGCATTCTCAATGGCAATGCTTCCAGCAATCAGAGTGCACTTCTAACCATTGCAGTAATCTCTTCTCATGCAGTATAAACGTTTCCCTGAGCCTAGTAGTTCTTGCCAGTTATCCTGATAAAAAGCTTCAACAAAATCTGTTGATTCTCAGCAATAGTAGAGATAAAGTAGTTCATTTGCTTTAAATTCAGCCGTGATGTCCTGAGATCTAAATACAACTCTGTCTTAATAACTCAGAAAAGCTATTACAAAATACTGAAAAGGGAGTGAAATAGGAGGATCAAATGAATGCAGTAATTTTCTGAAGACAGATCCCTTAGTTAGATATTTAAGAATAAAATATAGAGGATGCTAAAAATTTGAAATAAAAACGGAATGAGGAATCTCAGCAGGTCTGGCAGCATCTGTGGAGAGAGAAACAATTAACGTTTTGGACTCTGCAGAACAGTTGCGTCTGATTCTAATCGATATGAGTAACGACGTTGTGGACTTTTAAAATACTTTTAGCCGTTCCCTTCCACATGCGTTTCACAATATTATTTTATTTCGATAATGAACTGTCTGATCTCACATCTCTAACATGAGAAGGGTGGCATCGAATGATAATAGTTTGACTATTGGAGTTGGAGCTGAGTGGACTGTGGGCAATTTCAGTGAAGGGTGTCGCTCGTAGGGACCAATGTTTATAAGAATGTGGAAGCAGAGTTTGGAGGAAAGATATTTGTTTGTGGGCGGCGGGAAGAGGATTTTATAATTGATACCCGTCTCGAAGTTGAACAGCAAAAATTTACCTGTGCATTCATGTGAGGGTTCGCTGGAATAGTAGCTGGATGAGAAAGGGAGAGGACTGGGGATTCAGGAACACAGTTAGGTCTCTGTATTGCAGAATCCTTATTCTGTGTGTAATTCATTCGAGATTGTTTTCTGCTACTATGTCAATCTCTACATAGGTACTGTTCAGGGGACAAGAAACATTGTCCATGAATGGATTTTGTTCCTTTAGGAGAGACAGGCGCTTCATTGAAATGGTTCGAATCAATCTGTTTTTTTTTGCCCAGGCTGGAATTCACTCTCCAGGGTAAGGCCGAGCTTCTCTCGGATATTTCAATCCCTCCTCCTCATTTAACCTCTCTCCTTGATCCTCACTTTGCTCATTTCACTTTCTCTCTGTCTGTTTCTCTCCCTGGCCAGTGGGCTTCTGTCAATATATTCTCTCCACCCCCACCACCTCCCCGAACACATTTCCCCCGCCCCTGCCCACACCCCTCAGCACCGCCCACCGCCGCCGTCAGCCGCCCTGGGTATAAAACCTGGCACTGGGGGCATGAAGCGGCGAGACAGTGGCTGGAGTACCCGGGAGAGGCTCACACACAGAGAGACAGAGAAACAGGACGGAGCTCTCCCCATGACTGCACCTTCTGTCCACGGTATGGGGCACCTGAGTTTGCTGCTTTACCTGGTTGTGTTCTCTTGGCTGTCTGTCACCGCCTCAGTCAGCCTGGACCTCACCGAACTCAGGAACAAAGTTTCCAAGATCAAAGTCAACCCGAGGGGGAATCTGTGGGCGACAGGTGAGAGGCTGACAGGTCTTTATGTTCTGTGTCTGCATGTGTTTCTCTGAGTGGGTCTATGTTTCTGTGTGTATGTGTGTGTCTGTCTCTGTGGTCTCTCTGTATGTATAACTGTGTCTGTGTGGTTTCTGTGTGTGTCTCTGGTTTATCTGTGTGTATGTATCTAAGTGTCTCTGAGTGGTTTCTCTCTGTGTGAGTATATATCTGTCTGTCTGGTTTCCCTGTGAGTGTATGCATATATGTGTCTGTCTGTGTGATTACTCTCTGTGTGTATCTGTGTGTTTATCGTTGCCTGTGTTTGTGCCTTTGGTTCCTGTTTGTGTGTGTGAGTTTGCCTGTGTTAGTGTGTGTGGTTTCTGTAAGTGTCTATCTCAGTGTTTTGTGTTTGTGAGTGCATTAATGCCTGCCTGTGTTTTTCTCTGTGTTTCTATGCATGGGTTTATCTGTGTTTGCGTGTCTGTTTGTATGTTTCTCTCTCTCTCTCTGCGTGTGTGTGTGTGTGTGTGGTGTCTGTGTGTTTGCATATTCCATGTGTGGCTGTTATGTGCTTTTACTGTTTTCTGGTCTCAGACCTTTTTATTCATTGCTGGGACATGGGACAACATTTTATTGCCTGTCCCTAGTTGTCCTAGAAAAGGTGGTGGTGAACTGACTTCTTGAATTCCATGTGCTCTAGATAGACACCCCCATGGTGTTAGAGAGGGAATTCCAGCACTCTGACCCAGTGACTACTCAGAATGGCACCTTTCTCAGCTGTGCCTGGTCGGACAGGCTTCAGAGAATGAGGAGACCAATGGGAGACACAAAGGAGAGATTCTGCCTAGAATTGGGAATCAGACTCGAAAGGTGGAAGGGAGTGGATATAACTGGAATGGGACCAAAACTGAGGTCAGGGTAGTCCTCGAGGACTTTGTAAATATAGAAACATTTATTTCAATTAAACCTCAAAGTAAAAAAATACAAAGAACTGCAAATGCTGCATAAATCAGAAACAAAAACAGAAATTGCTGGAAAAGCTCAACAGGTCCGGCAGAGAAATCAGAGTTAACATTTCAGGTCCAGTGACCCTTCCTCAGAACTGATGGTAGCGAGGAAAGTGTTGGTTTTTATGCAGAAGATAGGTTGGGGGGAGGGGTCAAGGAGTAAACGATAAGTGGGGATAGAGTCCAAAGAGAGAGAAGAACAGTTGGACAGACATCCTATTTTCTGCATAAAAACCAACATTTTCCTAGGTATCATCAGTTCTGAGGAAGGGTCACCAGACCCAAAACTCTGATTTCTCTGCACAGATGCTGCCAGAACTGCTGAGCTTTTCCAGCAATTCTTGTTTTTGTTCCTAAAACTCAAATTAGTTGGAAAACAAGTATTTGATTTTAATTCGGCCAGTGACTTTCCTTGTTTTCTCTCTGTTTGGGTTTTTATTCCTCCCCATTTAGTGCAGGGAGTCTCCATTCTCACAGTGAGTGGAACAGGGGGATTGAATTCTGATAGCTTCACCTTGTCCTCTCTCTCCCACCAAAATAAAGAGAGGCTAGGTTTGAATGCCCAAAGACAGAGGAATCTGGTAATGATGTGGAGACAAATGCAGGCGGGTGGGAGAATTAGCATGGGGAATGTTGGCGAACAAGTTGCTGGGGACACAGTTCTCCAAAGGCAGGTTCAGTCTGTTTGTGTGGGGTGATGGGGGAGAGGATACATCTTGTCTACGGTGATCACCACAGCTGTAAAGGTTACTATTATTCCTTGTTTTTTAGGTCACTTTATGGGCAAGAAAAGCCTCTTTGACTATCCAGAGGGATACAATTCATCCCCGGCGAGGCTCCCCCTGGATCTCTCTGATGCTGCCAGGGATTTGCAAAATCTGTTCATTTGGAAGATGCTGGACCATGGTCTGCCCCAGGAGCAAGAAGGAAGCCAGCTCACATCCAACACTGTCACTGAGGTAGGAGGCAGATAGTGTAAGGGGGGTGTGTGGTTTAAATACAGAGAAACAGCTGGCACCAAGAGCCTGAAGCATCTTTTCTCCAGCTTCTGTGTCGGCTTTTTATTTCCAAAATAGACAGCTTCGAGTTTCTTTGGGTCACTGCACAAGACAGCCTGCCTGACAAGTTCACACCTACACCATCAGCCCTGAATCAGCATTCCAGCTCCCATCTGCGCATCCGCCCAATTCAGCCCATTCAGACTATCCCAGTGAGTAATCCAGGCCATTCAGACTATCCCAGTGAGTGATCCAGGCCATTCAGCCCATTCAGACTATCCCAGTGAGTGATCCAGGCCATTCAGCTCCTTCAGACTATTCCAGTGAATAACACAAGCCATTCAGCTCCTTCAGACTATCCCAGTGAGTGATCCTGGCCATTCAGCCCATTCAGACTATCCCAAGGAGTGATCCGGGCCATTCAGCCTATTCAGACTATACCAGGGAGTGATCCGGGCCATTTAGCCCATTCAGACTATCCCAGTGAATAACACAAGACATTCAGCTCCTTCAGACTATCCCAGTGAGTAACACAAGCCATTCAGCTCCTTCAGACTATCCCAGTGAGTAATCCAGGCCATTAAGCCATTTCAGACTGTTCCAGTGATTAGCCCATCCCATTCAACTCCTTCAGACTATCCCAGTGACCCAACCATTCTATTTAGTCTTGACTGATGTCTCCCCTAAGTCTGAAGAAATCATTACATTCCAGATCATCTATACCTACTTATCTGGATACAGTTGCTGAAGCACACATGAGATTAGTAATTGGCCACAGAGATGACTGTAAGATGTTCAACAAAGTCATTGCCAGTCAGGGCACTGGTCTATTCAAGGCATTTAAGATCATTCTCACTGGCTTTATGAAAGACCTGGAGGAAAGCTCATCTGAAAGTTGCCAAACCTGATGTATTTCTACAAGGATATTGATTGGGTATATTACAAGGACAGGATTACCCATGACACATAACGTAGTGTTCTGTCTGAACTTTGTACACATTGCTCCAGGTGTAGATTGTAAACTATATGTGACATGTTTGTTTTATCTTTTCTCTCCTAGGGTACGGGGTTAATAATGAAGATTATTGAGAGATATGTGAAAAATAGTGAGAAGTGACAAACATCCTGAACTCTTGTAAGGAAAATCAGTATTTGCAAATGTGAGCGAGATGGTCTGTGTTTGGAATGCAGGAGTGGTGAATGTGGGCATTTTATTGTAACAATGATGTGTTCTAGTCTCCTGTATTTTATGTACTGTTAATTGTACATTGTCTTATTGGTATATTAAAGAGGCAGCAAGGACTATTCTATATTTTTCTGATGTTTTTGCATTGTTATACCATTTTAATGTAACCTGAAGGTTATTTGTGTTGAATAAAGAATATATTATTTAAGCAGCTAGTATTTACAGTTTAATCCTAGTCTATCCCAGTGACTAACCCAGGTCATCCAGCCCATTCAGACTATCCTAGTGACTAGCCCATCCCTTTCAACTCCTTCAGATTATCCCAGTGTCTGCCCCATCTATGCAGCCTCTTCAGATCATCCCAGTTCATTCAGCCCCTTCAGACTCTCTCCAGTGGACAGGGTATACAATTGGGAACTGGATTTCCATTTCGGGAACGATATCTCCCCGTTTTTCTCCAACCACCCCTGCAATTGGGGCTGAACTTCTTGAGACTGGAAACATGGTACATTTTATTAACAGACATTATTCCAAAAACAAAACCACTTAGGCAGTTTATAATGCAGCTCTGGGTAAGTGGGACTTGAACCTAAATCTCCTGGCCTAGAGACAGGGACACTACCCTGCTGTGCCACAAGAGCATCTCTCCTATGCTAGTCCCTGCTAACAAGAATGTCAATGAACTTTATCCCCAGCGCGCTGCACTGCCATAATGTATCCTAGACTATCCCCCCACCAATAGCTCAAGATCTCTGCTTTTATTTCTTTGTTCTTTCTTGGGGTGCCATTGGCTGGACCAGCTTTTGTTGCCCATCCCTAATTGCCAAGGCAAGAGGCATAAATTTGAAACAAATGCTTTTCTAAAAAAAATAGACTTCTATACACCAAAATCAAATCCTAAATATTCTGTGGACTAGTGAATTCACAATTAAACAGTTCCATTTTGTCTTTTAGACAGTCATTGCACCTCTAATAATTCATATCTTTGTGATGTAATAACATTTAAATATAAATCATTATGAAAAAGGGCATACGAAATTATCTAATTGAAATAGTGTTCATTACAACAACATCTATTGCAATTTCCCTGGTATATTAGCCCCTGAACTCCTGTAGCCTTAAGCTGGGAATGTCATTTGCAAAGCCATCATTCCCTCAGATTTAGAGATAGTAGGAACTGCTGATGCTGGAGAATCTGAGATAACAAGGTGTAGAGCTGGATGAACACAGCAGGCCAAGCAGCATCATAGGAGCAGGAAAGCTGACGTTTCGGGTCTGGACCCTTCTTCAGAAATGGGGGAGGGGAAGGGGATTCTGAAATAAATAGAGAGAGAGAGAGGGGGAGGTGGATGGAAGATGGATAAAGGAGCAGATAGGTGGAGAGGAGACGGACAGGTCAAGGAGGCAGGGATGAGGCTGGTAGGTAGGAGGTGGGGGTGAGGGTTGAGGTGGGAGGAGGGGATAGGTGGGTGGAAGGACAGGTTAGGGAGGCGGGGACAAGCTGGGCTGGTGTTGAGATGCGGTTGGGGGAGGGGAGATTTTGAAGCTTGTGAAGTCCACATTGATACCATTGGGCTGCAGGGTTCCCAAGCGAAATATGAGGTGCTGTTCCTGCAACCTTCCGGTGGCATCATTGTGGCACTGCAGGAGGCCCAGGATGGACATGTCATTTGAGGAATGGGAGTGGGAGTTGAAATGGTTCGTGACTGGGAGGTGCAGTTGTTTATTGCGAACCGAGCGTAGATGTTCCACAATGCGGTCCCCAAGCCTCCGCTTGGTTTCCCCGATGTAGAGGAGGCCACATCGGGAACAGTGGATACAGTATACCACATTAGCAGATGTGCAGGTGAACATCTGTTTGATGTGGAAGGTTGTCTTGAGGCCTGGGATTGGGGTGAGGGGGGAGGTGTAGGGGCAGGTGTAGCACTTCCTGCGGTTGCAGGGAAAAGTGCCGGGTGTGGTGGGACTAGTGGGGAGTGTGGAGCGGACAAGGGAGTCACGGAGAGAGTGGTCCCTCCGGAAAGCAGATAAGGGTGGGGAGGGAAAAATGTCTTTGGTAGTGGGGTCAGATTGCAGATGGCGGAAGTGGCGGAGGATGATGCGTTGGATCTGGAGGTTGGTGGGGTGGTATGTGAGGACGAGGGGGATTCTGTTTTTGTTGTTATTGCAGGGAGGGGTTGTGAGGGATGAGTTGCAGGAAATGCGAGAGATGCGGTTGAGGGCGTTTTCGACCACTGTCGGGGGGAGTTGCGCTCCTTGAAAAACGAGGACATCTGGGATGTCCGGGAGTGGAATGCCTCATCTCGGTAACAGATGCGGCGGAGGCAAAGGAATTGGGAATGGCATTTTTGCAGGAAGGTGGGTGAGAGCAGGTGTATTCTAGGTAGCCGTGGGAGTCGGTAGGGTTGAAATGGATATCGGTTTCCAGGTGGATGCCAGAGATGGAAACAGAGAGGTCCAGGAAGGAGAGAGAGGTATCAGAGATGGTCCAGGTGAACTTAAGATTGAGGTGGAAGGTGTTAGTGAAGTGGATGAACTGTTCGAGCTCCTCGTGGGAGAACGTGGCAGCGCCGATACAGTCATCGACGTAACGGAGGAAGAGGTGGGGGATAGGGCCAGTGTAGCTTCGGAAGAGGGATTGTTCCACGTATCCTACAAAGGGGCAGGAATAGGTTGGGTCCATGCGGGTATCCATGGCCGCCCCCTTTGTCTGTAGGAAGTGGGAGGAGTTGAAGGAGAAGTTGTTAAGTGTGAGGACGAGTTCAACTAAGCGGATGAGGGTGTCAGTGGAGGGGGACTGGTTGGGCCTGCGCGACAGGAAGAAGCGGAGGGCCTTTAGGCCATCTGCATGGGGAATGCGAGTGTATAGGGACTGGACGTCCATGGTAAAGATTTCCTAGTTCTCAATTAGCTGATTGTTTATTTATTGAATGGATTAAAACAACTCTCTCCTGTTTGCACCCCTGACTCACTTGCCAATCCCTCATTCCACGTGCAGTTGCTCTCTCTCTTTCCAGCCCCCATCCAAAGTCTGCAGTCTCTTTTCCCATTGACAGTCTTGCTCTGCACCTTCATGGAGCACTCTCCTCATATTCCCTGCAGTATCAGCACCCCCCCACCTCCCACGCTGGTCCCCAGGCTTCATTATCCGTGGATCACAGTCATATTTCACTTTCCATTTCCACCATCCTTTCTCTGGGGCACTGAGCTGGCCCCAGCTACCTCATTTCCCTGTACTCCCCCAGCCACATCATGCAGTCTTACTGCCTGTTGCCACTCACCTTGTTACTGCTGCTCCAATCACAGGCTGTCTCTCTCCCATGTTTGCTCATGATTGGTCCATAGTGAACTTATCAATGTCAGAACCAATTTCTGATTGGAGCAGAAGCCCCTTAATGATCCTAGCTAAGGGGGTGACCGTCCCCTGATTGGTTATCTCTGTGTTTGCATTTTCCTGGATGCTCTTGTGGCTATTGGAGACAGATTTGTCTATCACTCCTGGGCACTTTGAGTATTGGTGGAGGCTGCACTGTTGACTTTTTTTTGGAGACTGAGACCTTTGACTGGCAAGGGCTATGGGCAGTGGGTGTGGAGGTGGAGATGGAGGTGGGATCCAGAAATGTGAAGCTGAGACCACAACCCAGAACAGCTAAGACCTTACTAAATCACAAAGGAGGCCTCAATGTCCTACTCCTGCTCCTAGCTCCCATGTTTGTCCTTGACAGCTTTAGAGACAACACCATTGCTGCAAGTCTTGGTTCACATGTAGGCCAGACTGGATAAGGATGGAGATTTCCTTCCCTAACAATACAATGGTGAACCAGATGGGTTTTAAATGTAATTCATGCTTGTTTTTCAGTCACCATTACTGATTCTTCGGTTCAGTGCCAGATTTCATTAATTGCATTTTAATTCTACCAGTTGCCCTGCTGGGATTTGGACCAACATCCTCCTCTAGATTACTGGTTCAGTGATATTATCATTTCATCAGTGTCTCCCCAAGTGGACAGAAAGAGAAATCACTCTTCTTCCCTTTTTAATTCACATCTCTGTTATAATCTGGAAAAGAGAAGACTGAGGCACTCTCTAAGATGGGCCTTTAAATTATGAGAGGATTTTATAGGGTGGGTGTGGAGGGTATTTCTCTGACTGGAGAGAGACAAAAACTCAGCATCACCAATAATAGCTTTTGTAACTAAGAACTCCATCAGGAAATGCAGAAAAAATTATTTGTTCAGAGTGGTGAGAATATGTTAATTGAAGAATGTAAGACCACACAATATAGGGGCAAAATTAGGCCATTTGGCCCATAAGGCCTTCCATTCCATTCCATCATGGCTGATATGTTTTTCAATCCCATTCTCCTGCTGTAATCCTTGCTCCCCTGACCAATTAAGGACCTACCTATCTCTGTCTTAGATATACTCAATGGCCCTCTATGGCAATGATGTCCACAGATTAACCAGCCTCTGGCTGAAGAAATTCCTCCTCATCTCAGTTCTAAAGGGTTGTCCCTTCACTCTGAGGCTGTAGTCTTGGGCGCTAGTGTCTCCTACTAGTGGAAACATCTTCTCCACATCCACTCTATCCAGGCCTCTCAGTATTCATAGATCGTCAAATTCCTACAGTGTGGAAACAGGCCCTTTGGCCCAACAAGTCCACACCAACCCACAGAGCATCCTACCCAGACCCACCCGTCCAATCTACACATCCCTGAGCACTACGGGCAATTTCCCATGCCCAATCCACCCTAACCTGCACATCTTTGGACTGTGGGAGGAAACTGGAGCACCCAGAGGGCACAGGGAGAATGTGGAATTGAACCTGGGTCCCCGGTGCTGTGAGGCAGCAGTGCTAACCACTGAGCCACCGTGCCGCCCGTATTCTGTAAGTTTCAATTCAAATTTCCCCTCATCCTCCTATAGTCTATCAATTACAAACTCAGAGTCCTCAACTGCTCCTTATATGACAAGCTCTTCATCCCTGGGGTCATTCTTGAGAAGCTCCTCCTTCCTTAGATATGGGGACCAAAACTGCTCACAATATTCCAAATGCAGTCTGACCAGAGCCTTATATGGTCTCAGCAGTACCTCCCTACTTTTGTATTCTAGCCCTCTTGAAATG